TTAAAATGAAGTAGCCGCTGTTTATAGTATCTTTCATTGTATTATTTACTTTATTGTTTAAAGTTCTGTGTATTTGAAAAATCAAAAGATGGATTTTGACGAAGAGTTTAATTTAACTCCACCAGAAGTGGCAGAGACTGCAAATAAAATATCTTTAAGTTTACTGCCTGAAAAAAGCAGAGTGTTCTACGAAAAAACATACGCTGAATTTATTGCATGGTGTGACGAGAGAAAAATAATACGATATACAGAATCTGTATTGTTGACATAATTTTTAAACATTGCCGAAAACAGACTAATAGCAAGTTTGTGGCCGAAATATTCGATGCTTAAGTTTAAAATCAAACATTGAGATATCTAAATATAATAAGTAAATTATGTTTATCAAGAAAAAAAGAACAGGTTATGTACCAAAGAAACCAAAATCACTTGAAAAAAACAAGTCCAAAAATTCATCTCTGATGCTCCTAACGACGTGTTTCTAATGACAAAGGTAAACCAGTAAATTAAGTTAATATATTTAATACTCGTATTTTATAACATTTCATTTTGTAGGTTGCATTGATTTTCGGAGTGGCTGGTGCGTTAAGAAAGGACGAACTATTGAAATTAGAAACAAATAACGTTCAAGACTTGGGTTCAAAGTTTCTTGTCACAATAAAAGTATCAAAAATACACACAAATAGAATATTTACCATAGTAGATAACAAAGCAAATACCATTCTCTATGCGGTCAAAAACTATATTTTTTAAGACCGACACACACACCACATAAACGTTTTTATTTATAAAACTAACAAATTTTCCACACAGCCAGTTGGCATAAATACGTTATCCAAAATTCCTTCCATTATTGCTAAATTCTTAAAATTAGAGCACCCGCATTTCTACACTGGGCATTGTTTTAGACATTCCTCTGCCTCAATACTGTGTGGCAGTGGTGGAGACTTTTCAGCTATTAAAATACTAAGTGGCTGGAAATCGACTGCTGTAGCAGAAGGTTATATAGATAATTCTATGCAGAATAAACTTGAGACGGCTGAAAAACTCTTGGGACAAAATACCACTAAACCTTGTCAAAATACTTCCTTCAGCACCACCGCTTATTCTTCTATCACAGAATATACAGAGGTCCAAGAAGACTTAAATATAAATTTGTCAAAATACTATACAGCAGATAATCATTTATCAATACCTTCCTTTAATTTCAGTAATTGTACTATTTCGAATATTAATGTTTACAATAATAAAACTACAACTAAGGAAAATTAAACTTTGAATAAAGTTAATGAAAGCTGAAAAAAATTGTTGTTTATCGTTAAGTAAATAAAAGTTTAAACTAAGATATCTTTATTTCTGAAAAGTACGGTCGACGGAAAAGTTTTGTAACGTACTCGTAAATTAAAATGGCGATTAACAATCTCGAACATTAACGCGCTCGCTCCGCTCACGCGTTAAAATCTCTCAATTGTTAATCGCCCTTATTAATACACTTGTTGGTTAAATAACTATTAATAATATTTACTAACATAAACTTTTTAAACTTGACCAGTAACTACCTCATGTACACTGTTTGCTATTAAGTATAGAACAGTCACTGAAGGTTTTCACTCCGATGTCGTTGAACCTCCATCGATTTTCATGAAAATTTGTGAGTAGTTATAGGATATCTCAAGAAACAAAAGTGACATGGTGTCAACTTGCGCTTTTACCCTGGGGGTAAATGCCAAATTATTTTATTAAAAATAACCACAGAAATCGATAGAGACCAAATTTAAACAAAATTTATCCTAAAAAGTTATTAAAATCAATCAATACTTTTTGAGTTATTGAAGATCAAAAATTTTGATTTTTGGTAAAAAAATTCATGTTTTAAAGCAGTTTTTTATAAACAACTCAAAAACTATAAGTTTTTATAAAAAAGTTATCAATACCAAAATTAAAGCAAATAAAAAATTCAATAAACTAAAATATACTTATTTAATAATTGTCAAAGTACTCAGAAATACTTATAAAATCAGGTCTTGAAGAAGTTGATAGCATCAAAATGAAGCAAGTTATGATGAAAATAAGATAACCCTTTCGAATTTTTTGGAAAAAGTGAAAAATTAATAATACGCCATTTCCACAAAAATTAAAATTTATAGTAATCCCTGTAAGACTTTCTTTATTTTAGCATAAGTAATGACCTCAAAAATTTTGACCGGTTTAGAATGCATATTTTTGAATATAAATTTGATTGAAAAAAAAAGAGAATTTTTCTAATTTTCATAAATTTCACTTTCTTTTGAGAATAACTCCGTATATACTCAATATACTTAAAAAATGATAAAAAAGAAAATTTGAAGTTTTTCTATTACAAAGATTTTCTTTTCTTATATTTTTGTAGATAAAATCGTATTTGTAGGATAAAAAATAACTGAGATAAAAACAATTTAAAACCTAAATTTTACTGCGATAACCATGTAACCGCGGCCCTTTAACCTTTTATCTTTTAAAAAATAAGGGATTTAAAATATTAAATTTAATACGACTGAAATTACCTTTCAAATGGTTTTTGAATAAACCTGATATTTTTGTAAGTATAGGAAAAAAGATAGGTAATAAGAAGTAGACGTGTCGATAGGTATATGCTCACGAAATATACATGTGTGGATGTGTGTATGTATATTTTGAAGATAGAAGAAGCTAGTGAAAGGAATTCTGTATATCTGCTCAAAAACATAGTGGGACTTTCTAGTATGCTGTGTGTCTATTGAATATTTCAGTATAACTCAACAGATATAGCTGCAACGTTCAAGGTCACTTCATCGATAAAGAAAGGATCCAAAACTTATAAAAATAATACAAATAAAAGGCTTTTTATATCATATCTTATGAATAAACTCGATAAAAATCCATTAAATTCAAACAAGGAAAAGGAGAAGCTGACGAATTAATAGTAGAGACAACAATTGAGAATAAGGGCTCAAGTTTGCCAAAAGTTATAGTAGCAGAAGACATTGATGTTTTAGTTTAACTGCCCTAGCTAAAGCTGATGAAGAGATTTATTTTCTGAAACTTGGAAAACAAAATGTTAACTCCGTGATATATTCTTTAAAAAGCTTTAGAGCTAAATTATCCATGCATATAAGTATACATTCTATTTTCTCATTGTTTTTCTGGATGTGACTCGACTTCTGCTTTTTATTATATAAGGAAGAAAAAAACTACCGATCTTCTAGTAGACAAAAGACCTGATTTGAGACAGTAGATAGATATAGTTTATAATAAAGCCGCTGATATCGATGCCATGTTAGAAACTGGCAGGTACTGCACAATATTATTGAACGGAAGTGCAAAATTTGTAAATATGCGTAAACTATAACGCATCCAAGACCTATCAGCTTATCTGAAACAGATGCATAACGAGTCCTTTATTAAGGCTACCACTAAAAATAATGCAGTAAAGTTTTCATCTTTGGTCCCAACGTTTGCTGCATGGGATGAACACATCAATAGAGTTTATTTACAAACCCAGATATGGCTTGGAATCAAAGACATTCGTCCAGTTGACTGAGGATGGTGCAAAATTGAAGAGTCTTTGTTTCCAACTAAAAATCCAATCGACCTGCTCCAGAAGAATTATTAAAAATGAATTTTTGCAACTGCAAAAAAGGGTGCGCCGCTTCTTGCGGGTGTCAAAGAGTAGAGTTATTTTTCAATGCAGTCTGCGGATCAAGCAGTAGGGACAATTGCCAAAATAGTTCTCCAATTAATGAAAAAGGAGAAATTGGATAAATGTAGAAAGAATAATATTCTTAAAGTTTGGAATATACTAATGAAGTTTATCATAACCAATAAAAAAGTTTAGAAATGATTAAAGCTATTAAAACTAATAAAAAAACATTTTCCATTATATTTTATGACAAGGAGTAGTTTTTAAGGGTGCAAAAAATTAATTAATAATATGAATACTTTAATACTCAGTAAATGAGATTTCAATTCAGTAATATATTATTCAAATAATTAAAGTTTCTTGAAATTATTTTTTTTAATGATTCTGCTTTAAGGGGGTGGTTTTTAAGCGTTGAAATTTCACAGTCAATCAAAAATTATATCATAAACATTAAAGAAACTATTTGGGTAATATTAATATGTGAGTTGATATTTCAGAAATATAAAAAATGATTTTTTCATGATTTTTGATTTAAGGGATAGTTGCTAAAAGGGTTGAAAAATTAATTAAAATCATAAATATGCTTATAAATGTTGCAAAATATTAATTTTATTTAATTAATCGAGATTACTTATGCCAGAATGCTTAAATCTGCATTTTTTATCATTTAAAAAAAGGGGTGGATTTCACCACTAAAATGCAAAAAGCGCAATTTGAGCATATTCACTTTTGAAGTTGAGGGTAAAATATACTGAATTCCAAATTTTCATGCAAATCGATGGAGGTTCACCGAAATTGGAAGGTAATAGTTGATTTTTACCTTCATTCACTGTACTAATAATAAAATTTAATATTAAAAAACATACATACATACTAGGTTTAGACACAATATCGGCAATACCTAAGAAAATATAATGGTAAATAAAATATATAAAGCTCTTGGTAACTGTTTTTATTGAATTTAAATTAGTTGGGAAAAATATAAGGTTATAACCATTAGCAAGACTAAAAATGGTTGAAGAAGAATTTATTTGAATAATTATACAAGGTTTTTTGGCCACTTTCGCGACGTGTCTCAAATAAGCCTATTTTAGTGAGACCAAGATCGATATTAGTTTTCTTAAATATCAATATATTATCTTATATCAACGGACGACAGACAAAATTCCATAATTTATTATACTTATGCCATATTATCTAACTATGCTGCCCAATCTTTGTGCGACCTTGAAATAAAAAGCGATTCAGCCTTGAGTAAAAAAATCGGCGAACTCTAAATCTGAATATTTGTGTCATCAATATGTGTATAAATTTGGTGGCAAATTAAAAATTGTCCATATCACGTTGAGAAGTGCATCTGATACGATGAAGACCATTGTGAGTATAATTTTATTTTATTACATTGATTGTTTAACCACTACAATAATTGCATTATTATACAATTAGAAAATTTGACAATAATAACAGTAAAACACAGATAATGCACAAAATAATAAAAAGGTCATCAAATTTGGATCACTTTTTGAATATATATATATATATATATATATATATATATATATATATATATATATATATATATATAAAGAGTAAGAAAAAAGAAGTACTTGTGACTCGTTTGGAAAAAATATAACACTGTTTTTGATGGGTTGGAGTCAATAAAAGGGGCTATTTGTTGACTATTTTTTACTCGAGCTTTCAATTGTGATTACAATTTTTATCAAGAGCTTCTAAAAAATACAAAATGTCTTAAAAGTTGAACTAGAAATAAAAAAATTTTTGTTAACTTACCAAATAAAATTAGTTGTTTATAGAAAACTACTGCTTACATAATAAATACAAAAAATATTAATAAAAAAATGCCTTATTCTAATAAATGTTTCTCTGAAAAATTTAGATGAAGTTTCTTAAGAAAAAATTGAATTTATAAACAAAAATAGAATTTGAATTTCCATGTATTTGTTACATTTTTTCGGGCATCTATCAATGGTGAATAAATCTTCTTCTTTTTTGTTACTTAACAAAGAAGAATTTTTTAAACAAAATTTTATTTTTGACAATATGTCAAAAATAAAAATTTTTAAGTTAGTATTTATGTCATTTTAGGCTGGTTGTAGCTATTCTATTTTTGTTTATAAATTCAATTTTTTCTTAAGAAACTTCATCTAAATTTTTCAGAGAAACATTTATTAGAATAAGGCATTTTTTTATTAATATTTTTTGTATTTATTATGTAAGCAGTAGTTTTATATAAAAAACTAATTTTATTTGGTAAGTTAACAAAAAATTTTTTATTTCTAGTTCAACTTTGTAAGACATTTTGTATTTTTTAGAAGCTCTTGATAAAAATTGTAATCACAATTGAAAGCTCGAGTAAAAAATAGTCAACAAATAGCCCCTTTTATTGACTCCAACCCATCAAAAACAGTGTTATATATATATATATATATATATATATATATATATATATATATATATATATATATATATATATATATATATAAATTTCTTTTTCAAAGCTAATTCTAAAATTGTTCTTTAAATTAATTTCTTAATCAATACTATGTAACTTATCAGCTTAGAGTTTTTAAGTTATTATCTTATTTCCGTTAAAATATTTTCTACAATACACACCTCGTATTATTTCGCTTTTTTGAACATTTTATGTCATAGTTTTAATATTTTTTTCTAGTTGCCGTCTATCTAAGCTATTATTCTCCGCCTTCCTTTAACATTTCTGCTAGGATTCCATCGCTTCCAGGAGCTTTATTCCTTTTTATTTCTTTTGCTGCTTTTTCTTTTTCTTCGTTGGTTATTTCAGGCATCACTTCTGAGTTGACATTTGTGTCTGCTTTTTCAAGTTTTGTTTGAGGAGTTAGGGAGATCGTTTCTGAAACGTTGTAGACCGGCATAGAACTTTTTAATTGAGTTTGCTATATCATATTCACTTTTTTCTAGTTTTCTTTGTTTATTTTTACGGTTATTAGGTTTTTCTTTCCTAGTTTCGGTTTGGTGCACTTAAGACTTCGGTTTTCTCTATGACTTGTTCTGTTATGACTTGGTCATCTGAAAAACTAAATGTTTTTAAAGTGCAGTTATTTTATTGTTAAATTAATTGTTAAATAATATTATTGAATATATTGGGTTGAAGTTACTACTTATTATAGTTCCAAATTTACATTTTCAAAGTCTAGTCTTCAATGTGATGCTTTATACCCTGTCTTGGATTATCCCACATGTACATTAAACTCACCTAATATTATAATTTTCTGCTCTGATGGAATATTACTCAATGTGTCTTGTATTTAACCATATAAAGCGTTTTCTCATCCAGATCGGTTTGATGAACATATACGTAACCATATTTCTTTATTTGAGAGTTCAAAGATTATTCTTTCATTCATTCCTACAATTTCTACGGCATAACCTTTTATTTCAATATAAGCAATTGTAGAAACTAAAGTTTTAGTGTTACTATTCCCTATTTATTACAATATGTTTTCTTTACCTAGTTTTTTACCCCTTATATTTTCCACTTAATATCATGTGTGCATTTAATTTTTATTATCCTTCTTTTTAAAACTTTTATCAACTCCATACTTTTAAATATAAGACTTAAAAGACCCTATCCTAAATTGTCTAAATTGTAATGGAGTTTTTCCTTGAAGTCCTCACCCGGAAATCCGAGAGTAGTCTCATTTGACTTCCGGTACTCCAGAAAATGCCATCATAATGCAAGCTTTAGCGAGCACACCACCAATGTGCAGTTTCTTTAGATCTACAAGCCAAAGATATTTTTTACGATAGACTAATTTCCTTTGTGTAATCTGCACCAATGAAAAAACTAGTCTAACTTTGATATTTTTTTCTCAAATTATCTGCTACATTATCTGTTTGTCTCTGTATTTATTTTCTCTCTTAGATTTACGATACTTCTATGCACGTATCACACCAGTTTTTCAACGAAAAAACGCCAGTTTCAAAAGAAAAACTGGTGTGACGGACGCAGTTGAAAGAATTACAACCCTGAAATGGAACTGGGCAGGACATGTTGCTAGGGTCAGAGATGGAAGATGGACAAAGAAAATTTTAGAGTGGAGGCCTAGACACGATGCTTATCGTAGTCGAGGACGTCCTCCAACAAGGTGGTCGGACGATTTAAAGCGCATCCAGTCTAACTGGATTCAAGTTGCTCAAGATCGGATGCAATGGAATTATTTACGGGAGGCCTATGTTCAGCAGTGGCGCAAAATGGCTAATGATGATGATGCACGTATAATATTTTGGTCACTGTGATGTCTACATAGTTTTCATATATATTTCTATTTCGGGTTTAAATTGTAGTTAAAAGGTAGCTTCTTTTCATTCACAACATTTCTTACTTGTAGGTACATGTGGTAGTGAGAGAGACAAAGAAAAATAAAGAGAGAGAGATAAAAATGTACTCTATTAATACTATGTACCAAATCCACCAACCTGATATTTTCAGCTAGTGGGGCATGATTTAAATACTGTTATTGATTGTTTAATTTTTGTTGTAAGTTCTACATATCTCCTGGCGCTGGTACCCATTCAATTTCAAGATTTTATATTGTACCAGTAATTTTAGTCTGAACTGACATCATGTTTTTTTTACTATATTCTGTATATGTATATTTTGATGACACGCTATTTACTACATGTCTAACGTTATTGATTTAACTTGTCATATTCTAGGATTTAACTAGTTCTTAATTTTTTTTTCTGTCAGAAGCCTTCTTTTGTTAAAAAACAAATTTAATTTAAAGTGTATTTATTCTCATCCATAGTGCCATGTGATATCTAGTATATCGCTATACGATCATTAATAAAGAAGATGCCGTTTGGTAGTCGCCTTGTTTATTTTTTTCTTTAATATATGCGTTATACTATTTTCTTTGATTTGCTATGTCGCATGTTAAAATTGATCTAGTTGTTTATTTTGGGCTCAAACAGAGGCCTTCTTTATGTCAATAAATTAAAATTTGTCTTATAGTTAATCTATTTTTATCCATAGTCCCCTAGGATACTCTTCCTTTTCATTTAACACATCCTACGATCCAGCCGGTCCAATAACAAAGAAGATATGATATAATGCCTTTTTGGTAATGCTGCTATTTGTAAATTTTTTGTCTTAACACATTTGCTACCCTCCTTGCCAATAATCCGATGAACTATTGTAAACACACACAAAACTTAAGCAATAGAATTAGCAAAAAATCAACTGTATCGTTTTAACAACAAAGTATAACTGAATCGTCAGTTAGTAGTTCAGATTTCTTTCCTGGAAGTTAATACGAGTTATCACATCAGATAAACAGTGTCATCCTAGCGTTTTGTATAGTAAGATTTTACTCCTTCTTTTAATATTCTTTCTGGTATCTCTCCTATTCTTACATAGTATATTTTGTGTTATTTGTTTTACCTGTTGGTTATCCAGTTTAGTTCTTTATGAAATACATAATATTCCTTAATGCTTTCTTTATCTATTATGCATAATATCTCGGTCTATTAAGTCATTATTAGAAAAAAAAAAAAGATTATATAAAAATTTTAACGTTCAAAATAAATATATTTTTAAATTATGTCACGATAAAACCTACTTAAATTTTTCTTTGGTTTATAGATCGCTTTTTCGGCTTTTGTAGCCGTAGCATTTGCTGCTAACCTCGAACATGCTGATCCCAAACACATTCCCATCATCAGACAAGAAAACGAAGTCAGCGTCGATGGAAACTACCGTTCATCATTCGAAACCGGAAACGGAATCGTTATCCAAGAGCAAGGTGTCCTTAAAAACGCTGGTAGCCAAGATGCGTCTTCTGAAGTGGTTGGATCAGCAGAATGGAAAAGCCCCGAAGGTGTTCCAGTAGTACTTAAGTATGTAGCTAATGAATTTGGATTCCAACCTGAAGGAAGCCATCTCCCAACCCCACCAGTAGACAACAACACACCCCCACCAATACCAGCAGCAATCCTTAGGTCTTTGGAGTGGAACGCTGCTCATCCAGAAGAGGATCCAGAAAATCAAAGACCCCAACGTCAGTAAATTATAACTATAAGATGTAAATAAATGTTATTTTTTAACTATGTTACTGTTTTTATTAATATTCTTGAGTCACATTTTTATGATTGTTTACCCTGTATCTGGTCCTGTAGCTTTTTGCCTACAACCAGGTTATAGGATAATTTTAATGAGATAGTGAGTGCTTTACATACTGTACCTAGAAGTGTTGCCTTTAAACTAGAACGTCTTTTGTTAGTGTTAAGGCTGGTAGCACCATCTATCACAAGGTTTGATAAATTTTATTTCAATATGGCCGGAAGTGACCAGCTGTGTGGGAACATGCTGCTTGAAAGTGAATAAATATTTCATCATAAAAGTAAGTAAAAGCCTTTTTTGTATAATATTTTGGCTTTACATTAAACAAAAAGGGTCATTACTTTAGTTTTTTAAATATTTACATTAATAAAAGGCCAACATAATGATCTGGGTATAACGCAAAATTTATGTAGGTAAGAAGCAATATTACCAATTTATAGCAAGTTTTGTTTGTTGCAGATTTTACAAAGAAAACTATGTTTTACTATGGATTTTAAGCCAATCAGGGCTGCATGTTTATATGGGAAGAAAAAAACGCTTGTTATTACTTCGATAGATGCAAATATTTCAGATATATCCGATTTATCGGATTCAGAAGAAAATCACATAAAAACACGAAAACAAGAATCTATAAAGCAACAATTAGACATATATTAACAAACACGGTGGAGACAAGACCTGAAACATCTAAAACGAGACGATTGTTACAAACAACAGAGATGAAAATACTCCGACGAATTTCAGGGAGAAATCTGTTAGATAGGAAGAGAAGCGAAAACCAAAGAAGAGCATGTAATAGAGAAGACATAAATAGACGGGTGACAAAACAAAAACAGGAGTGAAACGAACAAATCAGTAGAGTAGTAGAGGATAGAATAGTATGAATAGCACGAGATAAGTCACCAAATGGACGAAGAAGTAATGGCAGACCAAGAAAAAGATGATGCGACAATTTTAACAATTTAGGAGGATATTATTGAACAAAAAACAGGCTTTAAAGCCTACATACTAGAAGGTAGAAAAAGAAGGAAGAAAATCATTTGCAACACGAAAATATTTTCGAAAACTCTGATGATAAAACAGGTCCCAACCATATGGTTATACCAGAAATAGATGAAGATAGTGAAGCTGATGAGAAAAGAGCAAACAAAGAAGAGGAAGTTGTACGAAAAAAAGCAAAAAGACATTCTGCCACTGGTGGAGTACTTTACCAAGTTGTTTTCACTTGACGGTATTGAAAATATCGTGTGACATTTAAATTTGTATAGCACACAGGTAAGAGGAAAATCCATCAACACTTCACCCCGTGAAATAACAGGTTTGTCATCCATTTTATTATTGATAAGAATAATAAATTTACCAGCAGTAGAAGAACATAGAGTGACATTCTCTTCTTCTTCTTCAAGTTCCACTCCTATCGGAGATTGGAAATCATTCTGGCAATTATAATTTTATTGGTTACTCGCCTGAACTGCATCGAAACTATTCACGGAGATAGCGTAGCCACGAGATTTTACGTCTTTCTACGCTTCTTCTACCTTTGAATTTACCCTGCATTATATTCCTATGTAGTTCGTACTTTTCACCTCTCATTATGTGCCCCAAGTATTCCAATTTCCTGATTTTTGTTAAATTTAAAATTTCGCATTTTTTTCCTAGTTGTTCGAGAACTTGTTCGTTTGTTTTGCGATCCATCCATGATATTTTCAAAATACGTCGGTAACACCACATTTCGAAAGCTTCTAGGTTTTTAATGTTGGATTTTTTTTAAGTGTCCAAGCTTCAACTCCATACAAAAGGGTAGAGAAAATATAACATCGAAGCATTCTTATCCGGAGCGATATATTGATATCGCGATTACAAAAAAAGTTTTCTCATTGTATTAAAAGTTGACCACGCAATTTCAATGCGGCATCTTATTTCTTTTGTCTGGTCAGTATCTTCTGCGATCCATGCTCCAAGGTATTTGTACGAAGATATTTGTTCAATTTCTGTATTATCTAGTACTAGCTTAACTTTGATGTTTTGTGCTTTTGTAAATACCATGAACATGGTTTTCTTCAAATTGATTTTTAGTCCATAATCGTTGCAATATATATTTAGTTGTTCAGCAAGGTGTTGCAGTTCTTCTAGTGTTCCTGCCAGTAGGACGGTGTCGTCCTTCCGTTTATTATAAGGCCCTCACTGATCTCGGCAAGCGCTAATTCTGAGATGGCTTCACTGTATAAATTGAATAACAAGGGTGATAAAATACACCCTTGGCGGACCCCACGGCGAATCTGGATATCCTTGGTCAGTTCGTTTTCAACTTTCACTTTTGCTGTTTGATTCCAATAGAGGTTACAGGTGATTCTAATGTCTCTACTGTTTATGTTTTTACTTAATAAAATTTCTTTAAGTCGAATATGCTGCAGTCTGTCAAATTCCTTTCAAAATCAATGAAACAGGCATATACTTCCTGATTAATATCTAAGCATCTCTGCGAAAGAACACTTACTGCAAACAGTGCTTCTCGTGTTCCCAGTCCTTTCCTAAATCCCATTTGTGTATTACTTATGTCTTCATCTAATTTCTTACGTATTCTATTGTGAATTACTTTTAAAAACAATTTCAAGACATGACTCATTAAGGCTATGGTGCGATGTTCATTGCACTCCTTTGCATTGGCTTTTTTGGGAAGCAGTATGAATGTTGATTGGAGCCATTCTTTAGGTATTATACCTGTTCTATATATGGTATTGAATAGATCCAAAAGAATATCATTCTCTACATTCTCTGACATTCTCTAGAATATTCTAAATTGCGGATATTATGCCACTAAAACAATTTCAACTTCTCAGAAGATACACTGCAATGACAACCGCCAAGTTATATACGAAATCAAAGATAGGATACGAAATCAAAGGGTATTTTAAAATCAGACCACTTTTGGATGCAGTCAGAGTTAATTGCCAGAAACATTAATTTAAAAATCAGTATTCCATAGACGAAACTATGATTGCATAATATATAAAAGTACTCATGCAGGAAATCTCAGGTAATATATTCAAAATAAGTCTCATAAATAGGGATACAAAATTTTTGTTCGAGCTGGCGTGTCTGGCTATATTGCCGATTTTATTGCATACCAAGGAGCTTTCACATTTTCTGAGTTGTAAAATACCCTAAACGCGTTTACTGAAAAAGAAACTTTTTTGGAGTGGGTGCTAGCGGTGATATAGGTTTGAGTAAGACCGTTTCTGATCCCTCCAATTCAGTAATTTTTTGAGGCAATTGGTTTTCCGGTCTGGTTTTTTATTTGTCCGAAGGTAAACTTCAATACATATTTAGAGCACATTATGAACCTAGCACTAATGAACATAGACGAGGGAATACTTATAAACAAAGTTGCTGACAAAGAATGTAGAGAGTAGACCATTTTAATTAATTTTAAACTGTTTGTCCTTGTTTTAGTGTAGTGTTTTGTACAATTTTATGTTAAAATTCATGTTTATCACATTCTACGCTTGCTGAATAGCCTATATTTGACGAAATCCCCCTGATGGTGCTGTAGTAAGCAAAAGTACTTGGGCAAGATTTAATTGTTAAAATTGTGCTCGATATTTGCCTTTCATTTTTTAAAGTTCATTCATTCGAGCATTCAACCTTATACCAAAAGAAAAAGGGGCAGACCAAGAAAAAGATGGATACAGCAAGTAGAGGAGGCGGGAAACCCTAAACAAAAATTACTCGAGGAATTAAAAATAATGGCAGGAAACAGAAAAGAATGGAAGAGGTAGGTAAATGGAAAAAAAAACAGCTAGCCCAAATCCGACACCCTGATAGGGTAAAATGAAGGGGAGAAAGAAAGAAAGTTTCTTTACTAAAATGCTACAAATTTTCCGTTCTTTTATATGGCGTGGAGTCATGGACCTTAACTGAAGCATCACTGAAGAGACTCGAAGTATTTGAGATGTGGTGCTATAGACGCATGTTGAGGATTTCCTGAATAGACAAAGTTACCAACGAAGAAGTACTACATAGAATGGGTAAAACGCGCGAACTAGTCTTAACCATAAAACGTCGTAAACTAGAATACCTGGGCCATATAATGCACAATAAACAACGATATAACATACTTCGGGCCATACTTAAAAGTAAAGTGCATGGGAAAAGAGGTCCAGGACGGAGAAGAACATCCTGGCTGCATGACCTGCGAAAATGGTTTAACTTAACCACTACCGGACTTTTCAGGGCAGCAGTCAACAAAGTCAGAATAGCCATGTTAGTGTCCAACATCTGTAACAGATAGGCACCATAAGAAGAAAGAGAAGAAAAATTATGAGATACTAAGCTTGCGAAAAATTAGGCAAAACAGAATCACGGGATATATAAGGGAAAGCGACAAGGTAATGTCGAAACATTTCAGAGGATCATATACGTGTTAGTTTGATACCGAAAAAAAAATTATTGTTACTAAATGGATTGATACTAAGTGTTTTCGTTAAGCAAGTATTTTTTGTGATATTCAACCCCTAACTTATGTACAAAGCTTGTGTAAAACTTACTCCTACTTTTGAAAAGTAAATTTACCCTGTCCTTCTCTAATTACACAATATAACAAGTAAATGGGTGAAGTTAATAGGGCAAACTCTTCACTTGTATTGTATATAAGTCCAAGTAGAGCCAGGAGATGATATTTTCCCATTATCACTTGCATATTGGACATATGTGTCATGAATGCATGGATCTTCTATAAAAATGCTTATGCTAGTTTGAAAGAAAAACCTATGCCTTTGAAATTATTTAGACTGTAGCTAGCAAGTTCTCTTTTACACACAAAAAAAGAAAGTAAAATAGGTAGACCTTACGTATGCAGGCTAAAAATAAAATTTAATCTTCACTTGCACTGAGACCAGATAAAGCCACTAAACAGGATTCAGTTGCTCATTGGCCTAAACAT